GCCCAGCACTCTACACTTCAGTACTCAGAGAATGAATGAGGCAGTCCTCTGTGACTCCAGTGAAACAGCTCCGCCGCGTGTTTAATTCACTCCTACCTTGTATTTAGGGCATTATGACAATCTGACTTCATTGAAAATTCTCTAGGTAAACTTCTTTTAAATCGAGGAGTTATATAAATACAGTTCAGTGCATATGAGTATAGCCATCTTAGATGCACTGTATTTGATGATTTTGTACACAAGGTTATACTCACATACAATTTGGGTCAAGATAGAAAACATTTTTAGCATCCCATGAAGCTCCGCCTCAGTCTAGAACTCATGCCCCCCACCCTCATCCAAGGGAATCACCATTTTGACTTCTAAAGGTATCTTCTTAAAGTTTCATTTTTTTAAAAAATTGATGAAATAGACATATCACAAAATTTACCATCTTAACTACTTTTAAGTGTACAGTTCCATGATATTAAGTACTTAATACATTCTTTAAGGGTTTTTTTGCATATAAATGGCACTGGTAATGCTTTCTTGGGGTAAAACAATGAATGATCTAGAAGCAGATAGAGCAGAAAGTGAAAGTTCCTCCAACCTCAGTGTCTTCCTCAGAGGAACCACTATTTTCAGTTTGTGTCTCCTCCAACCCTTTGTCTATGTATTTTCATCTGTCAACACAGAAATACATGGTATACATATATGTGAACATTTTAGCCCTGTAGTTTTGTTTTTTTTAATCATAAGCTGAAGCATTGATTGCTCGATTGATGGCTGCTTGCTTTTTCACGTGCAGCTTGTGGCCAGGTCTTTCTGAGCTAGTGTACCCAGACCTGGCAGAGGACATTCTGTTTGGCATCTGTCCCTTCAGTTATATACCTTGCCTCCTTCACCCAGGCATCCAGGCCTGGCTTGTTCGAATCCTCTCTCCCCAACCCTGTTGCCACCCTGGTAGAGCCTGCTCTCAGATCCCCCATTCCCTGAAATTCAGCCTTAGTTGTCACTAATCTCTGGGAAGTCCCTTTCCCTGGAGCCTTAGGTGGTGGATGCCAGGCATCACCAACCAGCAAGCAGGCACAGGCACCTTAGGGAGTAGTTAAGCTCTGGGCACCCCTGAAATCTCATTGCAGGCCTTCAGCTGGCCCAGACTCCAGGAGCCAGCCCCAGATCCCAGCCACAGAGCCCAGGGCCCCTCATGAGGTGCCTGGCAGAGCCACTGTAGCCAGCAGGAGGCCCTTTCCCTCCTGTAGCCTGGGCTCAGGCACCAGGAGATAGCCCTTGGTGAAACCTGAACCTGTGGCAGTCAGATGATGTGACCATTGTCTGAAGAATTCTTTTCTCTTTAAGGGCAGATAGCCTGAAGCCCTTCTGCTGCCTCTCTCTGCAGTGGGTGCCTCTGCTGGTGTTGGTCTCGTGAACCTTGTCCTTCAGGTGTACTGAGTTCAGCTCCTGAGTGCATGGGGCTTCTTTTCTTTGTTCCTCCTCCTTTTTTCCTTCTTCCTTTGGATGCAACCTGGGACAGGTTTGCATTGTGCAGCGTGTGCCACTTAGCAGCAATTGGTCAACCCCCGCGCCCCCCCCCCCCCCCCCCCGCTTGCTCAAGGCATGGTGTTTTGAGTGCAATGGAGAGGGCAGGGACAGGCACCTCTCATCTGGGGGCCTCAGTCTGGAGCACCTGGATTGTCATGTAACATGAACGTTCCTGCGAGGCTATGAGCCAGGATTGTGACAGAAGCAGCAATCATGGTCACAGATCTCTACCCTCCTTCCCACCATGTTCTTCCAGCTTCTCCATGCTAACTATGGTGTTTTCATGTTGTTAGCATTAAGGAAAAAAAATCAGGTTTTTAAAATGTAGAATAAGGCAAGGCGCAGTGGCTCACACCTGTAATCCCAGCACTTTGGGAGGCTGAGGCAGGAGGATTGCTTGAGCCTAGGAATTTGAGACCAGCCTAGGCAACATAGTGAGACCTTGTCTCTACAAAACATCAAAAAATTAACTGGGTGTGGTACTGTCTGCCTGTAGTCCTACCTGTTCAGGAGGCTGAGGTGGGAGGATTGCCTGAGCCCACAGGTTGAGGCTGTGGTGATCCCTGATCATGCCACACTGTACTCCAGCCTGGGTGACAGAGTGAAACACTGATTCAAAAAAAAAAAAGGAAAGAAAATATGTAATTGTTAATAATCCCAATGTCTAATTAATTCCTGTTGAAATTTTTTAAAGTTAATATATGTGCATGATTAGAAACTTGAAACCAAACAGAAAGGTATAAAATGAAAAAACTTAAGTGTTCGTGTGTGAGTGTGCACACACGGTGCTACTATTGCCTTTTTCTTTTCCCCAGGAATGAAATGCCAGTATGTTCTTAGGTATCTTTCCTGGAAAAGTTGTATTTACACTGTCCTGTGTAGCCTTTGAAAAGCTTTACCTGCAAGATTCCCTACTATGTGTTCTGTTCTTGCTTTTTCATCCTGGAGCTGTGTCTGCATCAGTCCAGCTAGGAGTAAAAAGACCTCAGTCTTTCTACCATCTCCGTGAATTCCCACCCTGTGAACAGATAGACCATAATTACCTAACCGCTCCCCTATGGATGGACATTTAGGTTATTTCCAGCTGCTTATTGGATGGTTACATTATAAAGGTTTGAAATTTCCCCAGTAAGCATGCCCCGCCCCCAACACCTGATAATCGAGAAAGGCAGATTCCTTTGGAAAATTTTGTAATTCATTCTTACAGTTGAATTTTTTTTTTTTTGGATGTAGGCAGGAAAAAGAAGGTAACTGTCATGTGTCAGATGCTTACTGTTTTTCCAAGTTCTATAGAAACTTTATATCCATGATTTATTTTGTTTCTAGGAGGCCAGAATTGTTCTCCCCATGTTTAGACGAGGAACTTGCGGTGCAGAGAGCCCCACAGTCCTCAAAGTCTCAGCTAGGCTGGGGTTCAGGCCACTCTGACCTCCCCAGGCAGTGCTTTGTTTCACTTCCTCAGTTCTATGTATATGAGTCCACACAGAGCTTAGGGGGTTTCTGCATCCATCTGTGTGAATTTGTGATTGTATCTTCTAACTACGGGGTGTTTTGCTCTGTGTTTAGTCTCCGTTTTCTGATTCTGAAAGCTTTGATTGTGGCATACTCTAAAATTCACTGGGAATGAGTGCAGATGAAGGCAGCAAGTCACTACATCTTGGGTCCCTAACTTCCCAGGTTCAGGTTCTTCAGAAGAAGATGCAGGTGTCCAGGTGGCACTCAGCCCCCACATCCTAAGTGGGCCCTGATGGATGCTATCTGTCAGGCAGAGCTCAGAAGGCTCTATCCCTGGGCTCTCAGTGGTTGGCTTCTATAACACACTATCTGGGTTTCCTGGATGGGAGAATCATGTCTCAATGTATCTGTCATTTTTTTTTGTGGTTGAATTAATTCAAAGTGGATAAATAAAAATTAATGTTTGGATTTGGATGCTAATTGAGCCTTCAGTTAGGTTTTGTTTTGAGTGTTATTGAAATTAATCTGTGTCCCTTGAGTACATTCCACTTATTGGCAAGGTATGGTGGCCCCCAGAATATAATTGGTGGTTATACATAAATTCAGATGGATAATCCATATCAAGATAATGGAAAAGTTTATTTTAAACTTTTTTTCAAAAATGACAAGATGATGTCTGAACATTATCCAGACTTTAGAAAGAGAAAAGCACTTTGATCAAAATCCCGCTCCAAACAAACCCATTTTCTTTTGTCTTTTCCTCTTTTCTAGACTGGTCCATTTCTACGTTTATACTCTCTAGAAAGTATTAAATATAGAGCTGAGCTCGAGCTCCTGGTGAAACGCTGTTTATTTTAGGAAGAACTTTGACTTTAGAGCTGGGCAACTCCAGTTCACATTCTGACTCTGCAGCTCAGTAGCAGTGTGACAGTGGGCAAGTTACCAAACCCTTCTGCACCTCAGTTTCCTCAGCTATAAAATGGGACTGATAGTTCCTATGTATCATGGTTGTTACAGAGACTGAGATACAGCAATACGGGACACAGGCCTTTTATCATTCTCTTTGAAGCCTTTGACTTCTCTGGGGAAAAGCTTCTTTCTTCCTTCGGGGCGAGCTGATCTTTGACTAGGCTCTGACTCGAAAGGAACCCAGCATTTGGCTACACCCAGAGCGCCTTGCTTTTTCTCTTTTTTTTTTTTTTTGAGTTGGAGTCTCACTCTGTTGCCCAGACTAGAGGGCAGTGGCCGCTCCCGGCCACCGCAGCCTCGACCTGTTGGGCTCCGGCGATCCTTCCGCCTCAGCCTTCTGAGTAGCCAGAATTACAGGCACGCGCTACCACGCCTGGCTGATTTTTGATTTTGATTTTGATTTATTGTAGAGATGAGGTCTCCCTAGCCCATGAGCAGGACTGTGTGAGCCCTCAGTCTCTTTGGTTGTTTATTTTTATAATAGCAAGTCATGCTGGTGTTCTATTTCCTATAGTGATACACAGTTTCTTTTAAAATGAACTTCTTTGAGTTATGATTAATAAAAATATTAGCGTGCTGTCGCTAAGGCAGATTGTGTGAGATCCCAGCTCTGCCACCTCCTGGCTGTGTGGCCTTGGGCAGAATGCTGTTATCTCTGCCCTTCTGTTTCTTCATCTGCAGATTGAGGATGACACAGTAATATCTTGTGGGGCTGCTGTAAAGTTCAAGTGAGATCATGTAGTCAGAGCCCTTAAACAGCATCGGGCATGTGGAAAGTACCATGAAAGTGTTCATCACAAGTGTTTTCCTTACATGGACAGCTAAGATTCGGGGGGCACAGTCCAACCCTTCTGAATTAGGATGGTGGGCACTGTTGTTTTAATTATTTAATAATAACAGTGGTATTAATAATAGGCATCATAATAGATCAAGAGGCAGCTTTTTTTTTTGTTTTGGAGATTAATTTCTCAGGATAGAAACTCTTGGATAGCTTGTAGCTTCCAGCGAAGTTCCAACATTCAAGTTCACGTGTTGCCTCTGTTCCATGTTTCCAGGCCAAGCCCAGCATTCGGTGCTTCATTAAACCCACCGAGACGCTTGAGCGCTCCCTGGAAATGAACAAGCACAAGGGCAAGAGGCGGGTGCAAAAGAGACCCAACTACAAAAACGTTGGGGAAGAAGAAGATGAGGAGAAAGGGCCCACTGAGGATGCCCAAGAAGACGCCGAGAAGGCTAAAGGTACAGAGGGTAGTTCAAAAGGCATCAAGACGAGTGGGGAGAGTGAAGGTGAGTGTTCCCATGAACTTTGCCCTGCGCCCGCGTGGGAGGCTGCGTCTGTGCCCTCCGCTCCTCACTTTTGCCCCTGTGTATCCAGTGGGTACTTTGTTCCTTCCTGATATGGGTGTACCTCATTTTACACAGTTCAGCCACGCAGCAGCAGCTGTGGGCCCAGTTACATGCAGCTCAAGCCTAGTCGGATGGGCGACCTGGAGCCGGATTTCCTCATCTGAAAAACGAGGGAGACAAGTAGTGCCCACTTCATAGTGTTTTTATGACAGTTAAATGAATGAATCCATGCAGCATGCCCAGAACGGTGGCTAGCCTGTGTTACATGCCATATAAGTGCTGCTGCTGCTGCCGCCACTGCTGTCACTGTTGGGAGTATCATCATCTTTATCCTGACAGCTGTTGTAATTCTTCCTGATAACCTGGGATTATGATGTGTGTCTAGTGCACTGTGGGAAGAAAGGGAGTTGTGTTTAATGAAATTATATGCTTTTAGGCCAGGCATGGTGGCTCATGCCTGTAATCTCAACACTTTGGGAAGCCGAGGCGGGAGGATCACTTGAGGCCTGGAACTCGAGACCAGCCTGGGCAACATGATGAGACCACGCCTCTACCAAAAAAGAAAAAGAAAAAGAAATAATATGCTTTTAAATAGAGTATGTTTTGCGGGAATCAAATATAATTCCCTCAGTTCTTACATTTAGATTTCTTAATGTCCTGTCTATTTAGAGTGAGGTGCACTTGTGTGTGGTACATGAGTACTTGATAAGCAGAATCATTCATTCCTCTTTCTGCCCTTCTTGGGAATGATTCTGGTTGATTTTTCACCTCCCTCTCGTTTAGGTGCTAAAACCTTCTTGAACTAGAGAGTATTTATTTACTCTGGGATTAAGCACACTGGAACTGTCCAGTTGCTTGTGTCATGGGCCAGGCTCACAGCCACACAGATGGGGTATCTGGCTGAGACCCTGGGCACTAGAGCCAGGGGTGGGGTGGGGAATGGATAATGGGAACCTTGATACTTACTTGGTAAAGGTGGGGTGGAGGGAAGGTCTGACCACACCTCCTGGAACGAACTTGGTCTCTCCTTAGCAGCCTGGCTGTGGTCTGCTGTGGGTGTGGGGGCCACTTCCTGTGAGCCTTCCTCTGGGGCTCTGAGCTTATGGTGGCTTCTCTGAAGCTAGTTCTCCCTAGCCCATGAGCAGGACTGTGTGAGCCCTCAGGCTAGGGTGTCTGAAGCTGTAACACAGAGCCACCCACTGAATCAGTGACTGTGAACTCATTTGCCTTTGGGGGTCTCATGCCATCTGCAGCAGAACACACCCTGCCTCCACCCCACTGGCCCCTTCACTATTTTCTTGGCAGTTATCAGTGAATGCCAAGATCACATTTCTTTCTTTTTTCTTTTATTTTAGAAGCAGGATCTCGCTATGTTGCCCAGGCTGGTCTCAAACTCCTGGGCTCAAGCGATCGGCCTGCCTCAGCCTTCCAAAATGCTGGGATTTCAGGCGTGAGCCATCATGCCTGGCCTTACATTTCAATAAGTGTAACCAGACTCACTCTGTGGTATCAGCTGGACTTCTTTTTAAGGCTGAGATCTCTAGCTTACTTTCATTTCTGTTTAAAGTGTGGAGTAAGCATTTTGGTTTATTCTTTTTTGACCTGGGAAGCGTTTGCCAGCAAATGTCATTTGGTGGGGAGGTGAGGGCCAGCAAAAGGTAAGCCATACTAATTTGTTTATTGGGGTCATTTTGATAATGCTGTGTTGTTAATGCAGAAGAAAATTGTCTGCCTAAAGCCTAGAGCTAGTTCTTCTGTAGTCACACTGGGGAAACATGGACAGCTTCACCTCTTTTTGTACACTGTGTTCTTGTCGGTTTTGTTTTGGAAAGATGCTACCTCTTTTGTTCCAGTCCTTTTAAGGGATGCTGTCTAACCAGGCCTCTGCCATGACTAACAGTGGTGTGGACCAGTCAGGCTTGGCCCCAAAAGCACATCACATTAGTCATCCTGGTGCAGGGGGCATCTAGGCCAGCCGGACTGCTTGGGTTGAGTGGGGGCCCTAGACGCTGAGCCAGCTGCCCTGTGCAAGGCACAAGAACAATTCTTACCAGCCTCCAGAGGTTTGTTCCTGGTAGTCACTCAACTGGATTGCACCAGACAGGACCCAGGAATCTCCTGAGGCTTTGCTGGACAGTTGGTACTGACTTCAGGGTATGGTCAAGCCTAGGTCTCAGTGACCCCCCCCGGCAACTTTGGCACCCTCCTAATTTCCTGACTACAGTAGTCATTCCAGAATATAGTGTGCCTGCCATTGTGTCTCTCAGCTTGCCACAAATAAATGCAACTTCTGAAGGCCGATCCTGCCGGTCAGCTGCAGTTGTAATCTGGAGCTTTCTGAATTGTATATTTGATCTCTTAGTTACTCTTACTCTGGAAGGCACGGTTGGTGGGTGTTCTCTCCTTAGACTAATCGGTGTTTGGGTGAAACTGCACAGCTACCAACTTCTGTGACTTGGAAAGATGTCAGGCACTTTTCCTCATTCGCATTGCAAACCGGAGAGCAGTTTAGATGCAGAAGGTGCTAGAAGGTGGGAAACTGCCTCGTGGTCTGTCTCGGCATCTAGACTTACTGCGTGCCTTGGGTGGTCCCCTCAAGAACTGGACCTCACTGTCCCCATCTGGAAATTATGAATATAGAAAATACAATTCATGCATCAAGCTTTTTTTCAAAAATGAAGATACACTGGTACTTGTGCTGCAAGACTTAGAAATCCAACTCAGACTGGCTTCAGCAGAAAGGGCGCTTCCTGTTCGTGTTCCCAGGCAGCGTGGGTGGAGCTGGGCCCAGGTGTGGCTCCAGGCTCGCGTCCTGCCAGCTCGGCCACGAAACAGAGAGGAGCTTCTCCTTCCCAGAGGCTGTTGCGGAAGTCCTGGGGCCGGTGCTTGTTGGTATTATGGGCCTGGCTTGGGTCTGTGCCCCTCAAAGATGTTCTGGGAGCCGGGCTCGGTGGCTCAGCCTGTAATCCTGTGCCTTTGGGAGGCTGAGGTGAGTGGATTGCCTGAGCCCGCAGTTTCAAGACCTGCCTGGGCAGGTGAGACCTCATCTCTACAATAAATCAAAAAATTAGCTGGGTGTGGTAGCGCGTGCCTGTAGTTCCAGCTACTTGGAAGGCTGAGGCGGAAGGATCGCCTGATCCCAGCAGGTCGAGGCTGTGGTGGCCAGGAGCGGCCACTGCACTCCAGTCTGGGCGACAGTGAGACTCCAACTCAAAAAAAAAAAAAAAAGATGTTCTGGGCTGTTTGGCCAGACCTGGGTTATGAGTCTACCCTGTGGTGACTCCCTTAGTAAAAAATGCGGTGCGTTTATCGGAAGCAGGGGACATTGATGCTGGGCCTCTGGGAATGGCAGACTCTCCCCCAGAACACCACATTACATTTCTGGCACCCTATCTCCCTGGGCCATCTTGTCCCTTCCTGTTTTGAGGTAGACGTGTGGCTGTTTTCTCCGCCACATGATTTCTTCTCTGGAAAATTTATTTTATTGTCCCTAGATCTAGAGGCATGTCCCTAGATCTAGAGGCCTACAAATAGCAGACATGGGTGACTCCTAAGGAAAGAGACACTGGCACCCTGCCCTGCATTCCCTGCCACCCCCATTTTAGCAGTGAAATCATTACTCTAAAAGATGGGGTAAAACACCAGAGTAAGAAGGGCATGTGATCCTGGGGCAGTTTTGCCATGACCTGATTTGAATGTGGCATGAATGTGTTTTTTCACAAATGCAGCACCCAGAATTCACACCTCCTCCACATGTAAGCCCAGACAAGGAAGTTGTGTGAAATGAGTGTGCGCCCCCAGCTCATTCACTGCCATCCCCTGTTTGCGAGGAAATGTACTCTGGCTCAGGTCCTGAGTGATGAGTGACTCATTCTGAAACCAAGAAATCACAGGGCCCTAAATTTGCAGAAATTAAATTCTAAAAGGAAGAGAGAGATGGCGTAGTCCCTGGAGCCCAAGACACATCCACTCTGCCCAGGAAGCCAAGCGTCCTGGGGTGCATGCCCTTCAGATGGAAAGGACGGCCCTTCTCTTTTGAGATTTACTTAGAGCAGTAACTTAAGCAGACCTGGAATGAGAGGCAGAATCTTCCAAACTCCTCTCATGAAAGATAGGGCTGCTGTGTTGTTTCTTGTCTGTGGAAAAATCAGGCAGTGATCATGTGACCTGACCTTCAGAGCCTGCTACTTTCTTAGGATTCCAGGAAGGGCATGGGGGGAAGGCAGCAGTACTGACTTTGACCTCCAGGCCAGCTGGGGCTTGAGGCGTACCTGGGAGTTCAGAGCCCCTGTTTGCCTTGTTCTTTTTGCTATTTTGTGGAAGTCTTTACTGGAATGAAATGGAACCTGGCCTCATTTCTGGCTCCTCTTGGAAAACTGGAGCCAACCCCAGGTCAGGCAGCTCTGATGGGGCGAGCCAGGGCCTAAGTGTCAGGAGGTTGGGTTTGAGGCCCAGCCCTGTCTCGAGCAGCTGTCTGTCTCTGACCACATCATCACCTCTCTGCATTCCTCCACGTGTACAGGGCTCCATGATGCCCAGCCTTCTGTTTGTCGTGTATGAGAACATTCCGCTGGGCATTTAGCATGTGAGCAGGCAGTGGGCAAAGTAAGTCCTTAGGGAGCCCCTGAGCAGGTTGGGAGGACTCTGCTTGGGTACCCGATGAGCTTCTGTAGGGCCTGTTTCTCTGTTAATTTCTATAACTAGTACGTGAGGTGAGTGGAGTGTGTTGGTGTGTATATGTGTGAGTGAGAGAGTGAAATCATGGGAAGAGAGGGAGTGACAGGCCTAGGCACTGCTGTAGAGAAATGAGAGGCCATCAGCTTTTCATATGGGCTTAGCTGGGATAAGGAGGAGGTTTCAAGGGGCAATTGATCCTAAACCTCTGAAGAGCAACTTCCCGAAAACCATTCTGAATCTAATCTCCTGCTGTTCAGTAGAAG